TTTGATGACGATCCTAGCTGACGCAGATTCATCATCAGCGCTTTGAATCACGACTCTTGACTAGTCAGCAGCACCACTCAGTAAGAAAAGCCCTGCACGCGACCCTCCGTTGTGTTCTCAGCGTGTGCGGCCAGCCCACAGCGCTTCAGCTTGACAAGCAGCCACAAAAGCTAGAATGATCGGTAGGTCAAGCTTGGACAGCCTTCGGATGGGGTGAGTGAGCCAGACTCACACGAACGCTCTCTTCTCCTGATCGAACATTAGTCGTTGGCTTGACTGGGGGCATTGCTTCCGGTACGTTGAAGCTGTGCCTGGTCGACCAAAAACGGCACAGTGGCTCATTGCCAAATTTCATCTTCTAACCTGAACGCCAGGCAAATCCACCGTATCGCGCCTTTTGCAAAGCTCTCAAATTCCAGTGATTGATCTGGATGTGCTAGCTCGAGAAGTGGTAAGGCCTGAGGATGCCTCTGGAACGCTTTCGAAGCTTGTCAATGCCTTTGGGGATTCCATCCTGCAGCCTTCGGGAGAGCTGGATAGGGCCGCGCTTGGAAGAATAGCCTTTCCGGATGAGAAGAAGCGCAAAATCCTGAACAAGATTACGCACACAGCCATTAGGAAACGAATGGCTTGGTTATTGGTCAAGCATTGGCTCACGGGCAGCAAACGCGTCGTCGTCGATACGCCCCTATTGATCGAGGCTGGCCTGTGGAAGTTTTGTGGTCAGATCATGCTCGTTTGGTGGTGAGTCTGCGAGGCTGGCGCACCATTTAGCCTCATCCATGCGCGAACCTTTGACTGGCCTGCCTGTCCACGCCTTTAGCTCTCCCTCCGATCAACTCAGTCGCATGCTCTCTCGCGATGGACCTTCAGGATTAACGCAGTCTGATGCCGAGTCGCGTCTCAAAGCTCAACATGCTCTCTCGAGCAAGCTGCCTTACGCAGATGTCGTGCTCGACAACTCTTCCGCGCTCCAAGGCAGCGAGCAGACTGGCTCGACGCTAGGTGCCGACGACGTCTCTCCAGCTCTTCAAGAGCAAGTGCAAGCCTTGGTCAAGAGTTGGCAGAAGCAGCAGAGCACACTGTTTGGAAGCGTCTCTTGGCTAGCTTGTTGGATCATTCCCCCCGTGGGCATCCTTGCTGGGGTGTGGGCGATTTTTCGCTCCAGAGCACGCATCGCCGCTAGGCGCAGGGCGGCGGACATTAGCGATGACGAGGCGATCCAGCGCAGAAGCGCTATACGGTTAGCCAAGAAGGACAACTGATCACGTCCGACGAGGGGATCCCAACCGGCGCTCACAGCCGCTTCCTCATTCGTCCACAGAGCTCAGCTCATACAGCATCAGGCAGGCGATATATGCGAATGGTATGAATGTAGCGTGCGCGATGTACGAAAGACACTAGCAGACCTAGAACGGGCGCAGAGCGACAAAAGAACAGCAAGAAATAGTGCTGCGAATCATGACGAGAATGAAGTGATTGCTGGCGACAAGAGGCCGCTCAGCTAGACATTGATCCTTGCGCAGGTAGGCGGACAAGCGAAGGCAGAATATGAACCCAAAAGCGAGCAAGTGAAAAGTCCCTTACAGCACGACAGCGGCGCCGAGAGCGACCGCAGCGGCGGCAGCAGCAGCGGGAGCCCAGAAGCCAGAGACATGAATGTTGGAAACGGCGCCATCAGGGCTGTTTGTGCCTGAAGCGCGAACGGAGGAGGGAGCGGATCCAGCAACGGCGATGGTACCGGTGTAGACTGAGGTGGCTCCACGAGCATCGCTGTTCTGACCAGGTAGTCGCGAAGAGAACGCTGCTGCGGCTCCCGAAGCGGCCAGCTGAGAGACGGAGGCGATGGATTGGGCAGAATCGGTGGGTGCGGCAAAAGCGGTCGATGGGGCGGGCGTTTGGATCCCCGGTGCGAAACTCAGAGTTGATCCCTGTCCTCCAGCCGTGCCTGTGGAGGAGCAAGAGGCGCAGGCACTTTTAGACTTTAGCAAAACGTGCGGATCGATGACAGGGCAGCTGCTTCGCAGCCCCGATCCCCCCGTAGCAGATACACTCCCTGCGCATCTTTACTCACAATCACCAAATTGGACGCAATTGGTCACCGCATTGTTGGTGGTAAGAGGGCCGAGAGCGGTGGTGTCTTGTGCAGCGACAACGGCGGCAGATGCGAGCACAAGTGCAGCTGCAAAGGTAAAGCGAGACATTTTGGAAGAGAGAAGATGGATTGGAGGGGATGACGAGATGCTGCGCGAGTGAGATGAGAGAAAATAAAATCCTTGATGTCAGCTGGACGCATCAGGCTGCTTAGCTGTCTCTCTGAGTTTGCGTCGATCACGAGCGTCTTGGGAGCGAATGAGGAATGGCGCGTTGAAGCCATGCACCGAGTGATTTGCGTTGACATTCCCCGCTCGCCCCCATGGTAGGGATGGTGATGCGCTGTATGCGACATCCACCCTTCCCCATCCTAGCTGTTGCTCTCTTCACCCAGCGAACCACCTCCCGAGCCTGTCCAGCAGCATTGACAGTGCGCTCGACCATGCCGAGCCCGAAGCTATTCGTGTCATCCTTGCCGATGCAGCCTCGTCGGACGACATCTCCGCTAGTGGTTCGAGGCGCAGAAACTCATGCTTTGTCCGATGGAGGCGGCATACTCACACTTTGCGCTGGTGGTGAATCCAAGAAAGGCAGCCGTTCGAAAGAGTGTGTCGGGAGTAATGAAGGGCTACCAAATGGAAAGCGCTTTGGGAACGAGAGACAGGGAGGGAATGTGAATGGTGGAAGGATGCTGGTGGGAGGAAATGATGCCTTGATGCGCGCGAGGCGGAGTGTGGGGAAGGAGCGCAAAGGAGAGAGAAGGAGAGCGAGCGCATTCACGATTTCACGAGGCCTTGTGCTGCAGTCAGAGAGAGCGGCCTTGCTCTCACGCGGCACCTACAAGATATTCAATGATTCGTGCTTCTATTCAGCTCGACCGTCCACTTAGAGAGCGATCCAAGCACAGCTCGACATTGTAATCCATCTCGATACAACTTGAGAGCTTGATTACCATACTTGTATTTGAGTAGGCTGAAAACTCCGAAGGTGGGGTCGAAGTCGCTTGTGCAGAGACAGATTCCACGGTGTGAGACTAGCGGCGGCATCAGAGGAAAGAAAGGAGGGACAGCAGCAGACTGCGAGCGAGGTCTTTTCTGCTTGGCTTGCTGGGAGGGTGCGGAGCAGAGCGGATGGTAGAAGGCTGGGGCACCTTGCCTGTCGAGCGGGAGGAGCGGAGAGCGGAGACAAATCGATCATAAATGCATGGGTGCAGCTAGCCGCACGCTCGCCTTCTGACCTTTCTGCATGTGAGCTCGAAGCCGATCGCGAAGGCGCTTGGCAAGTGTGTGGTGGCACGGTGATGAGAGAGCGCTCGTGCATAGTGCGGGCTGATCGCGGCCTGTTGAGGGAGGGATGGCTTATACAGTCTAAGTACTTCATGGGGGCCGCGTCTGAATTGGGACAAAGTGCGGGGTAGCTCGAGTGATGGTACAGTAGAAGGTTCACCGTCGAGAACATTCCGAATTGCAGTAAGTCGCACCTCACTATTCCTTGACTAGCTTGCGCGTGATGATGCTTGATGAGCGCGTCGCGATGCGCGTTCTGTGGAAGCCAGCTGGCCGCATGCATGCAGCATGATTCGGCCTCCTGACCTCGCTAATCCCAACGAGTCCAACACAGACTCCATCACTCACCTGCTACTACTGTCAAGCGTTCCGTGCTCGTTCCTCGCGCTCGAGCAGCCACCTCATTGACTTTCGAGGCTCAGCATGCCAAGTCGCCTTTCCCAGTCAACGCGTCGACTCGCGCCAAATTCCTACTCCCGCAACTCGCGCATCTCAGCAACGTCAAGTCAGAATGGACGCCGGTCTTTGACCCAAAGAGCGAACACAAATTTGCGGGAGGACATAGAGGAAGAGGAAGATGAGGAGGCAGAAGACGATGGTGCGCAAGGAGGAGCTGAAGATGAGGACGACGCAAGCGATGGAGAAGCATCGCTGCGTATGCAGAAGCGCAGGCGAATGAACGAGGGCAGCGGCGCCAAAAGCGTTGCAGACAAACTGGGAAGAAAGGAGGTCAATCGCAGAGCTCAGGACTTGATTCGCATGGCTCTCTTTCACGAATATAAGCGGACGCCTCTGAGGAGAGACGATATGAATAAGAAAGGTGAGACATTGCTGTCCGAGCGATGCTGTGCGGACTGGCCCCACGATCCTAATGCAGACAACCCATGCAGTGCTTGGCAAGGAGAATTCTCGCGCGTTCCCAGTGGTCTACAACAAAGCACAAAGATTGCTCAGAGCTACCTTTGGGTACGAGCTTGTGGAGCTAAGAGCCAGAGGCACCGAGAGTCAGGCACATCTCGATCTCCTCAGGATGCAGACTCAGAGCCTCAAAGAGGCGAGCAAGAAGCGAAGTAAGCACATTGAAGAAGAGGAAGAGACCGCCAAGAGTGAGTGCTTCTCCCAGCTCGATGCTCGACTTGCATCAATGGTCATCTTGATCATTTCTTTTCCTGCAGACATACCCTCGGGCTCGTATGTGCTGCGCTCACTCTTGCCGCCAGCGCTATTGAATGCGCTCCAAACTCCCGACGCTGGGCTTGTCGCAGCGACGGCCAGCACCGACGCGGTGCAACATGGCGATCCGACGGGAGTAGCCATTGACTGGAAGCGCGCAGAGGGTCAACAAGCACCGATGGGCTTACTGTACCTCATATTGAGTCTGATTCTGCTCGGCGGTCGAGCTTTGTCCGATGGTCAGTGTGCTTACTGTCCCTGCAAGGCATTCATGTACTCAACTGATGTACACAACCTGCACTATGCGAGTATGCAGGCGACTTTCGTGCTCAGCTACATCGCTTGTCGCTTGAGCCAAGCACTATCTTGCCAAACGCCCTGTGTCCAGAGCATGCGGAGCAAAGTGCAAGCTTGAGATCCTCGCAAAGAACGTCAGATCGGCCAACACTCTCTGTGTTCCTCGATCAGCTCGTGAGACAGGGATATCTGGAGCGTGTAAAGTCTGCCGCTGCTCCTCCTGGAACTGCTGCAGGCACAGGTACATCCATCAAGGGGCGCAGGGCCATCGCTTCCAAACGCAAAGATGGAGAGGGACGCCCAGGCGAAGTGGAGAATTTTGAGTGGAGATGGGGAGCTAGAGCTGAGGTGGAAGTTGGAGAACCCAACATCGCAGCTTTCGTAAAGGAGGTCTACCTCACATCCGAGGATGCCGACGACTCGGAGGACGCGGAGCCATCAGCGGCCACCAGAGGCAGTGCTCGTAGATCTGGAGCGAACGCTGCCGAGTCTAGGACTACCCAGCGCAGCAATAGAGCCACACAGAAGGAGGCACTGCTGCTGAGAGATATAGAAAGGGCAGCTGGCTCGCAGCTTGTTGATTGAGCGACGCTCTTTTCGTAGAGCTGTCGCTACGATTCTTGACAAGCGCCGTCGCGCGTCGGGATCATTGCGCTCTAGCCATGCAGCAAGTCCTGCCAGTCCATGTTCTCCCCTTCGCCCAACGCTGTGACTCACACAGCCTATGCCGGGACTGCGAAACTTGCGGAAGACAGAGCTTTCTGCGATGGGATGCACATTTCCTGGCCGTAGAAGAGTCATGTCGTGTCATCAACACGCTTGCCACAATCCGGACTTGCCGTATGCGTGTTGGGCAAAATTGTGATGATTGGCGCAAGCGCGGACACGGCCGACGCAGACCACCACCGTCAGCAATCAGAATAATATGGCGTCGCACTTTCGCGCCAAGGGGGGCGCCCAGGCGGCGCTGCACGACAATCGCGAACCTGTTCGCGTTGTTCAATCTCCTTCACTCCAGATCGATCGCATTCACATTTGTTAGTCCTCGGCAGGACGTAAGGCTCGACAAATCGTGAAGCGTACGATGTCCGTTAGACAGCTCCAGACCTGAGCTGGCGGCTCGTTCCTCATGGTCTGCGGAAAGTTTGCGGATTGTGGACCTTTATGCGAGATGGACCTGCAGTGATGCCACTCGGCGCGTCCACGAGCAGAGAACCTTATTGATGATTTGACGCCCGAAAGGCGCAGCAGATCACCACCACCACCACCACCGTCAAGGTCCCCATGCATCACTAGTATCCTCGCGCATCGCATCGTAATCAAATGCTGCAACAAGCATAAGCGCGAAAGCGCCCCTCACCGTCGTTTGCCACAAAGCTCAGCTTTTCATGGCAAAGACGACCACAGCACGTGTGCCTGGGCAATAATTTGCGCTGACCGCTGCGGAGTGGGTGCGGGTGTCGCTACGGGCTTGTGTGGCGCACATCAGCCAGAGTCGCCTTGCCTCTCGCGTATTGATTTTGTGATTCAAGAGACAGACATGCACGGCCGACTTGGCTCATTTTGAAGTCAGGCCTTCCCTTCGTCTTTCTCCACCATCACGTATTTCTCCGAATCTGTACATCGTTATTTCGTAACACCATACGAGACGACGTTTCTTTCTTTAGAGGCTGGTCCTCGACTCATCTTGCTTGCGACACAGCTTCCACTAGGCGTCTGCCAGAGCACAAGTCGCTGCCTGGCTGAGCAGAGACACCCTTTGCGTTCGCGGAGCCGGTCTCCCGCACTTCTATCTTTCGCCTCTTTCGCCTCTTTTCTCTTTCCATTACTAAAGATGAAGCTCTGCGTCCTTTACTTGATCACCACGGTGATTTTTTGGGCTGGGTTGATCGAGGCGCGCCCCACGCCTTCCCTGCCTAGAGGAGACGACTGGCCAGACCTGGCGAAGGCCTCTCGCAGCCTTGGTCAATCGAGAGAGGTTGCGCGACTGTCTCGGAGAGGTCTGATCCCCCTGCCGAAAGAGCAGCTTACTTTTTTCCAAAAGCTTTGGGTCGTGAGTAGCGATTGAAGCAGTGCTACAAACACGCCGCCTCACGAGGTTGTGCGCTGAGCCGAGCTGACTCATCTCCCGTGCGCATTTTCTTTTGTCTGGAAGCCCCTTCTACGACCTGTCGCTCGCACCTATAACAAATTGTCGCACAGGCAAAGGATGGGCATCGGATGGGGCGGAGGTATCGGAGGAGGTATTGCTCAAGGTGCCACGGAGCGACGATCCCTCTCTCCACTTACTCGTCGCGGTCTGCGAGTCGTCTTTCCCAGGGTGATTGGGCCTCATCATTTGCTGATGCGTCGAGAGAACGCTGGCAAACCCGTTTTTCTCCGGCGCGAAGTTGGAAAAGTGACGCTGAATCGTCGAGGATTCAACATTAAGGCCCTGTTCGGAATAGGCATGTCGAAGCAGCGCCAGTAAGTCGGAGGTAGCCCACGGTTCACTTTATGAACTTCCGAGCCATGCTGACGTGAGCAAGCATACGTGCTTCCCATCCGTCCAGGAGAAACGTGAGGAGAATGAGAACATGAGGATGGAGCACATGCGCGATGTTGGCTGACTGAAAATCCCGAACGCTTTCGCACTGCGTTTGATCAGGCCGAAATAGCGTGAGAGGCGAAAGAGATGCTGCATTATCCGAGTCTAGCTGACAAGTCTCGAGATATTCTCTGTTCTTTGCAGCGGTGTCACCATGGTAGCGTAAGTACTGAGCGAGGTGCATCCACAAGATTTGTCCACTGTGCTGACGAGTCGCACATCGATCAACGTGCCGAGCAGGGGAGGACTGCTCGCAAACGCGCAGTACCACTTCCTGCCCAGCATCCTACCTCGAGGCGCGTCTTCCGTCAACGACGCATCGCCCACATTGCTGGGTCGCTCAGCGGATGGCGCAGCTGCACTTGTGGCAAGAAGTAGCAAGACCACCATGTTGGTGCCTCGCAGTACAAGCCCCGCCTTCTTGACTGGCAGGTCGCTGCTAAATGTGCACCCCCAAAGTCTGCAAAGAAGAATGTCAGCAATGGCAGCTGCTGGCTTCGGTACCATGATCGGCTACTTCATGGGACAGCCCCTGCTCAAGTTTGCTAGGACAAACTTGGGTCTCAAGTTGGGCAAAAAAGAGGAAGAGAAGAATGATAGGCTTGTCGATGTCAAGAAAATCGTCGGCAGATCGCTAGAGGAATCTCGACTCTACTAGTTCAAGTCGTTGCGAATCCAAGGCAGACCGGAGTGCCAGATGGTACTACTTGCTTGCTTCTCGAGCGCACACCTGACGGATCAGCTCACCGATCTATCATATGGATCCAGGGGGAGTCGTGCTCCACATCAAGCCAAACACAGCGATGATGATCCTCTGCCATTGCAAGGTCACCCAACCTCTGTCGATGCCGCACCTTGATGCCGAGCAGCATCCTCTAGTGCCCCTTCATCTTGTCCATGTAACCTGGCCTCATCCACAAATTGCAGTGCAGATCGTAGTCCACCGAAGCACGCTCCTGCGCCCAGTCCGAGAAGCACTGATCTTCGCAACAAAGGTTTGGGCAACTTGTCTGCACGCACAGAGGCAGACAGCAGAGCGAGCTTGATCAGATGTGGCTGACGCGTGCGAGCCGAGATCCAATCGTCGTGCTCCGCCCGGAGGCGGAATGACTTGCTAAATCCGATGCAGGGGGTGACCCGATCAACTCACAGAAAAGAGCAGCCGAGGAAGCGACCACTGATCCAGCGAGAGCGCCATCGACGAATCTATAAGCATCTAATCCTTCTCTCCCTCCCTCTTTCCGCAGTAATTCAGGATTTCGCGCCCGAAGTGTCTGTTGATTTGCTCCTACTCCAGTCCACAACCTCACATCCCTCCAACCCTTCTCCAAGGCCAAGAATGCAAAAGTCCATAGACCCAATCTCAGACCTGTCCGTGCTCCGCCTTTGCCAGCAGCTAGCACGACTTTGTAATTCTGCCCCAGGCGAGCGCGAGATATGAAGCAGGGATCCTCATCAGCGTCGGCAGGTCGGGAAATGCTACATCTGAGCCAAAACATCCCCTCCGTCTCTGTAGCATCTCCGCATCGATTCGGCAGAACACCTGCTCATACTTCTCAAACCCTAACATCCTCGTACCCCTCACCTTTGTTTTGTTGTAAAAGAACCAACCTTGCACCGTATCTGGACGTCGATGAGCATTTTCGGCCATGAACACCAGTCCGGCTTTGGAAGCGTTGTTGTATGCACCAGCTGCGAAACCGAGGAGAAAAGCAGTGGTAGGAATGGTAGCTAGTGCAGGACCTGCCGAGCCAGAGGCCGAGTCCGAATGCGATATGGAGGGATCTGCGCTCTGATCGTACGGCTCGCGGTCGCTAGACCGCCTTGAAGTAGCAGGCTCTGATTGCGGAACATATGGCCTGACATCTTGACTCGAGCTATCCGCTTGAATGTGCTGACTCCTTTCCGCCGCGCTTGAGCTGGACGACGTGGAGGAGGCGACGGCTGAAATAGATGATGAAGGCTCTTCCACTCTGCTATCTCCCGACCTGCTCCATGGAAGCCACATTCTGCGCACGAGGTATCACTCGCGATGGGTCTTGAAGTGCCCAGAACTCGCGTCAGCTTGTGGCTTGCAGACACGGAAGATGACCGGAATAGACCAGAATTTTGAGTACAGCGGAGCCGCTTTTGGATGGTGTGAGGGTTGAGAGCAAGATTGATTGATTGTCGGGACTCCAGAGGCCCACCAAGTCGCAAATCTTGAATCAGATTCGACCGAAGCTGTCAAAAACTGACGCACCAAGTCACCGAGTTGCGAGTCGAGTGCATGCGAAGCACCAAATCACGAATTCTTGATGGATTTCAAGATCCGTGTTCAATTCACATTCACGATTGTGATTGATGATTCACCTAGCTTGTCTAGTCATCACGCACGAAACACGTGACTCGTGTTGTAACTGCACAGCGGAAAGCAAGAAGCGGCGCGCTTCATGCTGCATTACATTCGATTTTTGATTGTGATTCTGATGTAAATTTGTCACTCTTCTGTTTCAAGCACGATCCGAGACTTTAAATTCACGATTGTGCAGATGTATAGCTGCTCTCCATGTCCCTTTTAACTGTTCAGCTTCTTCCCCGCCCAAGAGTGCCAAGATTGGCTAAAGTCTCGATGCGACCATGTTGCACACATCCATGTTGGCTTTCGCGTCGACTCCGTTGAGCCGGGTGCATAGCTGCGATGCGCCAAAGCGGGCTACACTCACGAATGTGTGATTTTCCTTGCCCACGCGACCGCTTAGAGAGGGGGGTCTCGATCGAGTCGTATGTGCCAGAGGTGGCGTCGTTTACAGAAGCCGATGAGCTGATGGTCTCGACGGCGAAAAGGCCGAAGCAGTCACAATCCTGACCTTTGACTGATGAGGTCGTCCAAGGGTGAGGTGCAAGGTGCAAGAAGGGCTGAGCGGCGGCAGGAGCTGTTCATTCGTGAATGAAAGGGAAAGAAAGTCTAGACCACCCTTGACTGCGGGCCCGCATGCACCGCGAGGCTCGTGACCGGTGGGTCAAGTACATATATCGATCAAGTGAGCCCGCGATGGCCGTAGGAAAAATGTGCTTTTCATCTATGACTACTGTTGCACATGTCTTCGTATGCAATTGAATGGTCTCGAGAGCCTCGGACATTGTACTCTCCAGAATACCAAGCTGGGAAAGGTGGCGGGAGGGGTGAAGCAGGCGTGAAGCAGGCGTGGTCTAATACAAAGCGTCGGCGTAGAGGACACACCGCTGACGACTTTCCAACCGCAATCACTCACTTCTGACTCTGTGCCGCACACCGCATAGACTGACGGCAGCATGCAAAACTCGCTGCCGCGTGTACCGGTACTCTGTAGGTGCGCTGCAACAAAGGACCGCATATATGCAAGCAGCATAGGGCCTCGATCTCGCAGACAGCAAGCAGCAAGCCCGCGACTCAACTTTCCAACTGGAGCCCAGAATCTCATTCAAGCGCTACGCAAGCGCGAGCTTTATTCAGGGCCTAATTCAAATAATCGCGATGCATGGAATCGCGAATCTACGGTATAGATGCGCCCTCAGCTGACGCGCATGCATATCAAGCCGCACTCTGACTTGCGCTCAGAGTACAGTACTCGCGACGAACGCTCCTGTGACGCCTCGCTGCATACAATCAAGGCTCAAGGGTCACTCACACTCATGCACACTCACCACTCGCGTGACTCGGCATACTGCTCCTTTGCCGCGTCCGAACTCAAGACTCGTGACTGCAATCGCTCAGAAAGGGTTCTAGAACTTGGCGTTTCAGCTGGAATCGGCTGGCTTGCTTGCTCACAGCTCCCATTCCCGTTGCGCCATAACAGAATGCATGGATTCGCGTACGTGCATGCATACTGAGGGTCCAGCCCAAACATCGATCAACGGCATGGCATGATGGGCATGGGCAACTAACTAATTCCGGCCCGCGGTGGATTTGAGCCCCCCGTAGCGGTAATGCAGATGATCGATTCAACACTCTGACTAGCTCCTCTACTCACTCGACTGCTCTCGACGAGACGCTACAATCCCCAGCAGGCGACTCACTGCCACTCCCTCGGGCCTAGTCTCTCCATGGCCCGTAGTCGAACTCTGTATCTCTCCCCACCTGACCATTCCGCTATCAAACGTTGTGTTTGAGCGCGTTTGCAGTCGAACCCACACTTTCTGAACGGTCTAGACTTGTAACTTCGTCGGCGCCACCTAGCCCTTGAAGCTCAGACTCGCTGCCGTCGAGTCGGAGTGCTTCAAGCCCGCCACACCACCTCGGCGTTTCAAATCCCTTTCCTTTGGGGGAAACGGCCACTTCTACTCTCTGGTTGCTGCGACTTCGCTTCACCCCCGAGCATTCAAGCGTTCGCTCGCGCCTATTTGTCGCCGCGCCCTACTCAATTGTGTCTGTACCGCTGCGCTACTAGCGCATGATAACCTGCCTGTCGACAGGGCACGACCTCGCCGCCGGTTGGTCTGGACCTTGATCGGAGGACACGGGCGACCTCGGAGCGGGAGTTGCAACGTATCTGAACGAGGGCTGCCCTTTAGCATCAACTCAGCCAGCTTCGAAGGCAAGTGATACACAGCCCCTTTACATATATGGAGCGGCAATGCCTGTCGTAGACTGGGCTTCGCCTCCATCAATCGCCTCTTCTCCATCGACGCCCACTTCGCACCCAGTCAACCTGAATTATCCCTCTTGGACAAGTCTCATCCTCGAGCCTGATCCCCAAACCGATCCCTTTGCTGCGGCCGCAGCCGCCTCTCGAACTGCCTTCACCATTCCAGAACCACTTCGAGCAACATCGCCACGCATCGACGCCGAAGGCGAAGCGACGATGCCAGTCATGTGCGCCCCCTCACCATCCAGCGTTTGCAGCTCCCCATCCTTCGGACCTGCTTCTCCGGCTGCCAGCCACTCGCGTCGTCCGAGCACGACGTCATTCGGTAAAAGACGAAGCATCGTCTGCATGCAGTTGGACAGGGATGGCTCGGCGAGTCAACAGGGAAGACCTTCTGCATCAAGCAGCAGACTCGCGTCTGCTGAAAGCGTAGAGAATCCATCTCACCTCAAGCGAAAAAGAAGTTCCATCTCCAACTCAACCTCCAACCTCAACTCAATGCCCATGTCTGCTGATCGCCGCTCGCCTGTCTCTGTGAAGGCAAAAGAGGAAGCTTCGGCTGCTCTCACGGTGGAGCAACTAGGTCAAGCGGCCGCTGCTGGTCGCGTCAAGCTCACCGATGCCCAGCGAGCTTCCATAGCTAGATTGGTGGTAGCGCAGCTCAAGAGCGGTGCGACATCGCTGCCAAAGCGTGACGTTCCCTCCGATGCAATGCGAGGAGAGAACGGTCAGGGCGCGGCCAGTTCTTCGCGCAACCTTGGAGCCACGCGCGTTCGAGCTGCCCTCATGACTCGTACCTCTGCTTCCGCTTCGTCGCCTTCCACACGCACCACCGTCGCGTTGGCCGTGTCGAGCGCTCCGGCCTCAACACCGACTTCAGCTTCAGCGACCTCCTTCGGCCTGCCATTTGCTCCTGCTAGCGGCACACAGCAAGGTCCTGGTGAAATTCCGCAATCTCAACGCTTTCGCGAGCTCTCTGCATCGACCACTTCCTCCCTCGCTACTCGAAAATCTGCAGCGTCGACCACGTCCGCAGCTAGGGCCATCGCGCCCTTTCTAGCTCGCGTGACGCGCCGAGACTCGGAGAACGTTTCGCCTCTCAGCACATCACAAGGAGGCACGCATCAAGAGGATGCTAGTCGAAGTGAAGCGTCCTTGTCAAGAGCTCCCGGACTAGCTTCGTCTTGGGCTTCGTACTATGCTGGCGGAACCGCTTGGGCCGAAGCTGCGCTGGAACACGAAGCGAGACGCATGAGTGGAGGTGCGGATGATGGCAGCGATGCTCGTAGAGCGAGCAGGGTGGACCTATCGGCATGCTACGAGCAGCAAGAGCTGCGTGGCAGATCAACTTCGGTCTCTTCCGCCGATTCAGAAGATCAAACGAGGTTGAAGCGTGCCAGGCGCGAAGGCGCCTCGAGTCGAAGACACACGACGGAGTCCGCTGGTGGTGCGCAAAGCCAATCGACTGCGGCGTCAATTGCTGACGAGTGCGCCTCGACGCGTAAACCTTCTGTGACCTGGACCTCTAGCGCGCATGCGAATGTATCGGCATCGCAGACGAACGCGCAAATCAACGTCCAGGCGCAGCCTAGTCTGGTTGGAGTGCTGAGCAACTTTGCGAATTTGCTAGAAGCTAGAGCAGAGACGTGTCAAGGACTAGAGGACCTCGCTAGACAGGCACAACATCTCGAACCGCTTGAGCCACTTTCCCGCTGGGGTCCGACTCCGTCTCCGGCTTGCCGTGAAGATGCGTCGATGGATGATGATACCTCTGGAACCGCGGATGAAAGCGTCTGAAAACATCGCTCAGCATTGCTTCACATGCTCTGCCCTCGCTGCTCGGCTCTGTCTTGCATTTCCCTCTATTCACTGCTACTGAAAGTATCTTCCTAGTCGTTTGGATACTTGCCATTCGCTCGTCATGACCCACACCCTTGTACTTCTAGATGTTGTTCACTATCATACACGAGATTAGACAATGTCACCGGCGCCTTTTTAGAATTGCACGAATGCGGTGTGTGTGTCTATTCGAGTGCCACCTTGGCCCTTTGGGCAAAGGTTTCCGGCGTCATCAGGCTCAACTCGTCCAAAAGGGCTGGGATGAATGTTCCAGGGCCTCTGACCTCTGGTCGAGCAGCGGCCAACTCCGACGCGATCGTCATGCTCAGAATGCTGACAGTGAGTCGGGCAATGAGGTGAGCTAGCGCTCGTGGCATCGTTGCTTCATCACCGTACTTACCCAAAAAGAGCGCCAGCCAAAAGGTCATCAGGTTGCGCCTTGACGATGGAAGATCCGGCTCCCTTCACCTCGCTACCCTGGCTCGCCAAGCAAGCAGCCGCGAGTCCCGTAGCGACCGCAACTCCCAAAGCGCACCCTGAGCCAGTAATTGCTCCCAGCAGGGCGTGCCCATTGGAGCAAGTAATGACCACCTCTCCATCGCTCAAATAATCCGTCTTTCCAGTCAACAAGACCAGACATCTTTCTCGCCTTGCGAGACTGAGCACCAGACCTCGTGCATCGCGCAACGTGCCTGAGCCGCTGTCCACTCCGCGGGACTGAACCTCTGTCAGACCGGCAATGGCACCTAGTTCGGCAGCGTTGCCCTTCAGAAGCGTGATTTGGGTGTGGTCCATGATTTCTGCAGGCGTGAATGGGGGCGCATCTCAGCTCTGCTTTTTCACTCTCTGAGGACACTTCGCGTCATCTTTGCGGACAGCTTGTACTCACCGTTGACGGCTTGCCTGCGGAATGCTGAAGCTCCGACGCCCACAGGATCCAGAACAACCGGCTACCAACGCACAGCACATAGGTCGCGGGGCGTTCTTAGCTGTCGGATTATCTTCAACCCCATATCCACGCCCACATACCTTGCCGCCTCTATTCGCCGCAGATCCAACAGCTCGCATGCCTCTCCTCGCCTCTTCACCGATCGTGCCAATGTTGAGCACCACAGCACCCGTCACGTTGCCCAAGTCGTCAGCCTCGGCATCTTGATGGGACATGATGGGGCTTGCGCTCAGAGCGAGCGTCACATTGGCGCTCAAAGTGGACGAGACGTGCGATGTCAATGTCTGGATGAGAGGCGGTGAACCTTCTCTGAGTGCGCGCAGCAACTCCCCCGACCGCGATACCAAGCTCTCCACCTTGAGCTGTGAGCGCGATGCACCAAGACCGAAAGCCGACGTGATGGGCTTCTGCGCCGAGCTTCTTGCGCTCAAGAAGGCATTCACTATACACTTGAGCTCCCGTGCCGCTTCTTGCGCATCTTGGCGAGCGACGATTGCGCTGATCACCGCGATGCCGGCCGGAGCATATGCGGGTCCAGCAGCACCAAACAGCGCTCTGGCAGCGGTCCTTTGATTGATGCCGCCAATGAGCACGCTGGGAAAGCCTTGCAAAGCTTCGATGACGTGCGCAGCTCTCCTAGGCCCGAGAACCTTGTCCTCTGTTACGTTTGCCTTGGATAGAGTTCCATACACTGCACCTACACCCGCGTAGTTTGCCCCGCTGGTTCGCGCAGCTGCGGCCTGCTCGACTGTGTGCACCGAGATTCCCAGCAATCGCTTAGGGCCCAGCAGAGCTCGAGCTTTGGCGACTGGAAAATCTTCCTGACCAATGTGGAGACCTACTCGCTCTGGCAATGCAAGCGCCACTGCCAAGTTGTCGTTGATGAGCAGCGGCACGTTGAACTGCAACGATTAGACGGGTGGATGCGTTGTTGTGAGGGCGTCAGCAGGCATTCCACGTAAGCTTTAAAATTGCCGCTACATACCTCGTCACATATCTTCAAACTCTTTTGGGCAATCTCCAACAACTCGCCGTTATCCGCATGCTTCTCTCGGATCTGTACCAGAGTCACTCCGCCTTTGAGTGATGCGCGAAGTGAGTCGTAAAAGTCAACACCAGGAGGCAGCAGCTGGCGGGAGGTGACGAGGTAGAGCGAGTAGTCTGGTGCATTCAGCTTCGTCATGGTGCCGCGATTAAGTCAAGCAAGATGCAAAGGCAACGCTTTCCGAGTCGCTATTTCACGTGAATGGTATCAAAGTACGTCGAGCTCGAGTAAGTCCTGAAACAGAATCAAAATGATTTTGAGTCAAGATTGAATTTCAATGTCATGAGTCCTGACCCTAGCTTTTTCTGATCATCAGTCTCGACTCTCGAGTCCAAGGCAAAGCAGGCTTCCCCCGAGAGGTGGAGGCTGTGCTCGCTGGCCACGTGATCCAGAGGGATCGAAGATGCGCGGGCTGTGTGCGTGAGCGTGGAAGAGTCATCGCAATAACGCACGGTGCCGCCCGCGGGCGCGCGCGTTTTAGATCTGCATGCGGGCGCGGCTGGTTTTGCGAGCCGGGACGATTGATCGAGGGATGGATGATGGACTTTGGGACAAAAGTCGATGGACTGACCTTGCACACGATCCAGCGGTTTGGTATACTCGACACTCTTCACGACCCCTCCCAAGGGCAGCCTTTCACCATCGCAATACACAACGATCGGAGCTTGCTCCATCCGCCTGTCCCTCCCAACCCTGAACGCTTCTCCCTTCATCAAGAGAAAAGCTACCCAACTGGGTACCTCGCATCAGCGGCGGCTGGCATGGCACAACCATTTATCAATCCTTTAACGGGTCAAGCGATAGCGTCGCAGGCACAGTCCTCTGCAGGCTCATCAAGGCGCAGCAGTAGAAGAGGAGGTATAGCGGGCGGCGCGCTCAAGAGGGCAGGCCTGATCGATGAAGATGTAGGCATGAGGAGCGCGGATCGAGGATCCGCTAACGGATCAAGTAGAGGAAGTGGCTCTGGCGGAGCGTCCTCAAGAGGAGGTCATTCTTCTTCCCAGGCCACTGTGAGTACACCAGAGCTGCCAGCTAAGTGAACTTTACTAAGGACGTCGTGCCTCTGCTTGTTCAGGCTCGAGATCGTGCGAATCCGCTCTCTCGATCGGACCGACCGAAGGGTCATGCCAAGGGCAAAGACAGAGATGTAGCAGCAGCTGGCGTGGCGTACTCCATCAAGGGGCAGTCGCATAATGGTCAATCATTAGGTGGATCTTCGAAGGGCGGCAGAGTGCCCGGTGGGGACGTGACGAACGATTCGAAAGGGACATCCAACCTCAACAGCAAATCTATAGAAGTGCTTAGGCGCTTCTTGACCAGCAGGTGGAACGCTGAAGCCCAATTCCTCAACCTTGAAGTAAGTCTTCGTGCATGACCAGGGAGCTGCACGCCCTCGCTCAGCTTCTTCGGTCTCTTGATTGGTGCAACACAGCGCATGGCAGGGGATGAGATACTGGAAGAGGCTCACATCAAGGCGCCCGGGGTGGAAGGGTCGCCCAGAGAGATTAGCTTGGCGATGTTCAGATTGGCACAAGACATGTTTCCAGGCGTGAGTGTACACTATGGATTGGCCGGGCGGAGTCACCAAGCAAAGCTGAATCCGTGGGCCTATCGTACTTCCAGTGCGTCACAATCTCTCTGGCGCACAACAACTTCAAGACCTTGATACCTGTGAATGCCTTGCCACAATACCTTCCAAAGCTTCAGGTGAGCCGGATCAGGGGTATACGACAGAGTATGAGCTTGGCTTACAGCGCGTCTGCCTGAGTCGACAGAATCTCTCGCTGGAATCAAACGACCTCAAGTGGGTTCGGGATCTAATCTGGCAGCCCTCGATGAAAGGGCGGCCCACTCCTCGGTTCACATCCCTCAAGGAGCTGATGCTGCTGGGAAATCCTGTGCGAGAGAATGCTACCGCAGCTGGAAATGCGGCGGGCTACAGGGCAGAGGTCCTAGCGAAGTTTCCACACTTGACTCTGTTGGATAGGGAACCGGTGACTCAGGAAGAATTGACAGCCGCTGCTCAGGTCAAGAACACAGATCCGGCAGCTGCTAGCGCGGCTGCTGCTGGCGTGCAAGTCAAGCCTTTTCCCGTCGCGATGAGACCGGGATTCAGCGACGAAGCCAGCAAAGCGATCGTGCCTGCTTTCCTACAAAAGTGAGAGTGATGCTTTTGCCTTGACGAGGCGCTGCTCATCTTCAAGCCTCTCCGTCGCTCAGATACTTTAGCCTTTTCGACGAAGACAGACCGGCTTTGCGACCAGTATACGCGCCTCGTGCAGGCTTTTCGATGATCGAGCACCGACAAGTGCCACCTCGTGCAAGGGCGCTTGGCTATCAGAATAGCAAAGATTTACCGCGACAGAAAGATTTGAACTGGAAAGCATACAAGAATATTCCATCTCATAACATCATGACGCTCGGTAACCGTGAGTGTGTGTGACCGCGGCTCACTGTCTGTTTTGACATCTGCATAGCTGATAGTCAGCGTCTCCACTGCAGGCCGACCTCACAGCGGATTTCCGCATGGGCCCAATTCCATCGTTGGCGTCTTGACCAAATTGCCGAAGACGACACACCCACTT